AAAAAAAAGGAGCAGCACCACTAAGATTTTTTTAAAAGTTTATGTTTATGATTGTGTATGATAAAGTTTACAAATTTAGCCAGCCTAGGCAACATAGGCAGACCCCGTCTCTACAATAACTAGCTGGGTGTGGTGGGTAGCTGGTCGGGTAGCTCAGGTGGGACGATAACTTGTGCTCAGGAGTTTGAGGACACCCTGGGCAGCATAGCAAGACCCCAGCTCTATAAAAATATATACATATTAGCCAGGCCTGGTGGTGCATGCCTGTAGTCCCAGCTACCTGGGAGGCTGAGGTGGGAGGATTGCTTGAGCCTGGGAAGCTGAGCTGCAGCAAGCCATGATCGCACCGCATCCTATCCAGCCTGGGCAACACAGCAAGACCCAATCTCAAAAAGAAAAAGTATGAGAAATATTAATAAACCTGATAGATATCTGTTCATTAATTCTGCTTGAGCACATGGTCAAGGAAAAGAAGTGACTCGAATAGAGCTAAGGACTTTTACTCAGCAGATCTGCACAGAGAGCCCCTATACACAGGTCATTCATTCACTGGAGCACAGCACGATCCGACTTTTGTGAGATGAGAAGAAGCGAGGGACACATGTTTTTGAGGACTGGCCCGAATTTCACTTTCCTGGCCAGGCTCTCGCTGGTAATCACAGCACTTTGAAAGGCTGAGGCGGGCGGATCACTTGAGATCAGGAGTTTGAGACCAGCCTGTGAAACATGGCGAAATCCCATCTCTACTAAAAGTATGAAACCTAGCCAGGCATGGTGATGCACTCCTGTAATCCCAGCTACTCGGGAGGCTAAGGCAGGAGAATTGCTTGAAACCTGGAGGCAGAGGTTACAGTGAGCCAAGATCGTGCCACTGCACTCCAGCCTGGGCGACAGAGCAAGACTCCATCTCAAAAAAAAAAAAAAAAAAAAAAAAAAAAAAAAAAAAAAAAAAAAAAAAAAAAAAAAGACCAAAAAACAAATTACACTTTTCTTCATCTTCAGCTGTTGCAAAACCTGGCATCGTATCAGTTGGAAACTGTTGTCACTGTAATAAATGACTGTAATAAATGTAATCAGTGCCTCTTTCTTGGTATTATTGGTGCAATCCCTTTTCAGCAACTCTCAGGACAGCTTATGTTGCAAGGCTTTGCAATATGTCAAGGTTCAGAGGAAAGTCGGGGGAACAACAAAGGAGGAGAGGAGAAAACAGAAGAGAAAGGTCTAGGCAAAGGAACAAGAGTTGAAGCAATGGAAACTGGAGTCTCCCTATTTTGTATTGTAGTGCAAAACACAAAACATTAGATTTACCATCTTAACCATTTTCAAGAGTACAGTTCAGGCCACTGTGGTGGCTCCTGCCTGTAATCTCAGCACTTTGGGAGGCCAAGGTGGGTGGATCTCTGGAGCTCAGGACACAGAGACGAGCCTGTGCAACATGACGAAACCTCGTCTCTACAAAAAAATCGCAAAAATTTACAAAAGAGAAGGGAGGGAGTAGAGTTAAGAGCTCAGTAAAGCCTAATGACATTGCTGTGCAGTGGCTCTCCAAAGCTCTTCCATCCTGCAGAGCTGAGCTCTGTACCTGATAGCAGTGGAAGAGATCTGAGTTAGCAGAGGTCTGTATGGGTTTGCAGTCATGTCAATCCTTGCCTCCTCAGAAGAAAGAACTTGACTGAGGGCATAAGGCAGAAAAAGAGACCAAGGCAAGCTTCAGAGCAGGAGTGGAAGTTTATTTAAAACAGCCTTAGAATGGGGAAGAAAGGAAGGTTCTCTTGGAAGAGACCCAAGTGCACACCTGAAAGTAAAGACAGCAAAGGCGAGGGAGTTTAACCCGGGAGTTTACATGGTGTATCCGTGATTCGTCCCTTGGGGTGCGCTGCCCTCATAAGCAGTGCCCTTCCTACTCTTGGAAGGTGAGGCTGTGCAGTGTGTTTAGGGATTGTGCGAATGCCCATCTGAGGCATCCTTCCTTTTCTGGTGGAGGGCCCTGGAAGGTCATACTTGGCCATTTCATCTGTTTTCCCTGGTGTTTGCAGTCAGTTAACACTTTAACGTTGATAGCTGTGTTTCCAGAAAGGAGTCCAGATCCAGACCGCAAGAGAACGTTCTTGGAGCTCATGCAAAAAGGAATTCAGGGTGAGTTCATAGGGTAAAGTGAAAGTAAGTTTATTAAGAAAGTAGGGGAATAAAAGCGTGGCTACTCCATAGGCAGAGCAGCAGCATGGGCTGTTGGTTGCCTTTTTAAATGGTTATTTGTTGATTATATGCCAAACAGAGGGTAGATTATTCTTCAGTTTTCTGGGAAACAGGTGGGCAATTCCCAGAACTGAGGATTCCTCCCCTTTTGGACCAATAGGGTAATCTCCTGACATTGCCATGACATTTGTAAACTGTCAGGGCACCGGTGGGAGTGTCTCTTAGTAATTCTAATGCTTTATAATTAGTATATAATGAGCCATGAGGACAATCAGAGGTCACATTTGTCACAATCTTGGTTTTGGCAGGATTTGGCCGGCCTCTTTACCGCATGCTGTCTTATCAGCAAGGTCTTTGTGATGTATCTTGCGCTGACCTCCTATCTCATCCTGTGACTTAGAATGCGTCTCCTGGGAATGCAACCTGGCAGGTCTCAGCCTCATTTTACCCAGCCCCTATTCAAGATGGAGTTGCTGTGGTTCAAAAGCCTCTGACAGCAGGGTTCATCCATCTCCTTTCTTCCTTCATCACCACCTTCTAGCCCAGTTCAGGTCATGTGACTTGGAGACTTGGCCTCTGTCCAAGAACACTGAGACATCTTATTTGTCATTTTGTACACTGGTCAGTGGTCACCGGTCAATGGATTTCTTCTCTTAGAGAGGGGTCCATTGGGGATGAAGGGTCAAAAGCTAGCCAGAATTTATAGGGTAGGGTGAGCAGAGAGCCTGGAAAGCAGCAATCTTGTTGCTGGCTGGCTGGCAGAGAGGCCAGTCCAGGCATTCTGCCCTTCCGGAGGCTGTATAGAGCCTCGTAGAAGACAACGGCAGCTGTTAGGGCATTCTTTGGCAGTGTTTGTGGATTTGGCTGT